CGGTGTCATTCGAGTAAAGTCGTTAGTCGTCAAGCGCGGTTTTGTCTCTGCCATCGAGCCAGTTAGTTCGGTTCGCAAGAAAGACACCTCTTCGCCATTTCACTATTCTTCACAGGATGTCAATGTGTGTAAGACGCAATGCCCGGATTCTCCACCACGTACCACGGGGGGGGGGGAATCTTCTCCCTCTGGGGTTCTCCACACTTGTCAGGGGGGAATCTCGTCTCGTCTCTATATCTCGTCCCCTTGAGGTACGGGATCGGGAAAATCACTTTAACTTTACAGTCAAATAAGACACACACAACGAAATACGTTTCAACTCTTGTCTTAGTCGGTCAATCGAGCACTCTATAAGACACAGCGCCCTGGGGAAAAATCCCCAAGACTATCACAAGGCTGACCCAAGACTCTCTTAGACTGCGTCAACATTCGCCCCAAGGCTCTCCAGGACTGCACTCGACTGCATCTCTCGTGGTGTACTCGTCAAGACCAACTCAAAACTCTCTTTATTCATTTTCAAAACTCTAACCAATTACAAAACAGTAAAAGACTCTAGGGCGTAAACTTCACTCATAAAGCCAATCACACTAAGTACTGAATACGTCATATCTTTTGATTAACCGTTCACTACATTAATAACTATGAATATAAACTGTCAGAATGGAGATGGTTATCTGGTAATTAGTTCCAAATCACTGAGCCAAGTTCCTTCCAAAACTTCAAATATGCCTAAACGATGACAGACATAACACAGCAATTCGCTAATAATCAGCTAATTAAGTCGGTTAACAGATACGCAAAAACAAATTCATAACATCACCATAAATCGAAGCTGAGCATAATTTTATGCAGAACTTTTTAAATTCTATTATAGATAATTTCATCCCAATTACTTGCAAATGCTAAATGCAAAGTGGCAATTATTATTTTCAAAATAGATAAAACTCCAACGAGTTCATTTGAGGTTTTGCAAGCCAACTCAACAACAGAGGTTGGTGGTGATGTTATAGTCGGTGATTATAACTGCTTTACGGCTCATGGACGACTCACGAAACAGTTTTCGCCATACTTTAAGTATATAACACAGTTTAAGGAAACTTTAAGCTGGAAAACTAATCACATCATTATTGTGTTTTTAATGAAATATGTTTGTAGGGTTTTATGGTATAGAAATTATTTATGCAGAATTGATGCTGGGTGAAAAAAAAAAA